GTGAAAACAAAATGTTTATATAACTAACTATAAACGAAAACAAATACCCGCGCAGTTGCGCGGGTCAAAATCTAGTTTATACTTAAAATACAAAAACTTTGCCACCAAGGCAAGAACTGGTAATATTTTTTTGAGGACATAAGGAAAAGTGCAAATCGTATTAGTTCATGGTGTTTAACTAATTATCACCGACGTTAACTTAACAACTAATCCTATATAAATGATGAGTATAACTAATATGATATCATCAACTTTCCAACTAGCAAATCAGCAAAAAATCACAATTCCAATTCCAATTCCAATTACAATTGTTTCCGGCCGAATGTATAAATGATTATATAAGCAATTCAAAATTATATAATATATTATAAAAAATAATATCATTATATATTTTAAATTTATCAATACCATATGATCTATATTTTAATTATATTAATTCACCATGCCCTTTCCTAGTCGTATATTATTGAATGGAGCTAATATATTGTGCACATATCTAACTCTAAGTTAGAAAAGCATCTCTCTCTCTCTCTCTCTGAGAGAGAGAGAGAGAGAGAGAGAGAGAGAGAGAGAGAGAGAGAGAGAGACTCTCTCTCTCTCTCTCTCTCTCTCTCTCTCTCTCTCTCTCTCTCGAATTGCAGTCTTATGTGCATAAATAAATTGTCCTGCGATGTTTTGAATGCGGCCTTCTTTGTCTCGTAAGACCTCTCATCAACACTCAGTATGAGTACTTCAACAATCTATGTCTTTCTGCAAGCAATGTTGACCTACGCTGAATGAGTGTCGTTCGGCACTTGGTGATCTACGGTGTCAATCGCTGCTTGGAGGGTGTCGATCGAGACTGACACTTAGACTTATGGATCCCACGTGAATCAGCGAGCTCTTTCTGTGAAGAACCCTACAAATATTATTCCTAGTACTGAGATGTATGTACCTAAAACTCAAGAAAAATATAAGTAAGTAAACAAAAAATTTAAAAAAAAATAGACGAAACTCTACACCTAATCTAGTGGTGATCATGATCTTCTGTAAATAAGGGAAACTTGGGGGAAAAGTTACAATTCTTGAAATTTCATTAAAATACGTCAGTTTGCTGATTTTTAGGAGTGTCGATCGTCACCCAAGGTAGTGTCATTCCACACTCCTTGGATCTCTTGAATTCTTGACAGATTCCTCTCGTGAGTCTGAAAGATCACTCTTCAGTAAAACATGCATAACCTTTGATATAGGATCCTAATTGATCTTAAACTGCTGTAATTGGAAAGCCAACTCAATGCTTTATGTGTCTCAAAATATGAGCACAATCGCACCGTGGAAAAGTCTCCATCCATGGCTAAACTTTCGATGCGTCTGCACAGTTCTGCATCTTAAATAACTCCAGAATCTCCAAAGTTCCCTAAAACTTATATGAACCCTGTATAACACTAAATAACATCAAAACTACTCTGAAAACATATAATAAACTCTTAAAAGGACTTCTACCATAGTCCAAAATTGGTAAAAACCATGGTATATCACAAAATCTGAGGGAGAAGTCTCGACCTTGCCAACAATATCGACCGCTGAAGGATACTGTGGAGGGAGAAAAGAGATTTCAGCTGACGGTTTTGGTTGGACACAAGTTCGTCGAAGACATAGAGAATGGTGGCGGTGAGAAGAGAAGAAGAGACTTGTTGAGATTTGGGTTTGTAATTGTAAATATATAATACTTTGTTTGTAATTGTATTTCAAATTTTATTCTAAGGGTCTAATTAGATTTTCATTGCCCTTTATACTAATGAGACATTCATATTTGTTTTATCCTATTAGGAAAATCATTCTGAATTTTTGTAACATATTTCTAACTTTTCCTATAATTTCTTATCATTTTTTGTTAGTTTGTTCAGTTAACTAATCTAAACATTTCTTGCAATTGACAAAACCTTAATTTGATTACAACAACTGGGCCTATTTGATACTCCATAATATAAAATGTTTTAAGAGTTAAGAAACTTAACTTCTTAGAAGATTATATTGTTAGTTTTATAAATCAATCAGTCATAAATAAAGTAATAAAATACTATAAATCAACCAATTTTTAATAAAAGTAAAATAATTTATAAGTAGAATAAAAGCCCAAGATAACACCAAACCAAGTTTTTGTTCCCAAACTAACACTCAAGACCCAAATTCACAAAAATAGGTTTCATTAGAGGGGATCATTTATCCTTATGCCCCCTCCTTTGAGTAATTAAAAAAAAAACAGAGATTCGGAAATAAATATAATTATCAGAGACGATCCTTGCCGTCATGGTCTCCTCTCGCCTCTGAATCGCTGAATTCGTCTCGATAGTCACAAAGTTTTTTCCGTCCGTCGTCTCAAAACCTCTTTAACCAGCCAATCCCTCTTCACCTCTCCACGTGTTTTACCTTAGAGACTCTGAATCTCAGCACTAATCTCATATGGGGTCCGATCCCTGATCAGAGATATCTGAGTTCACTGCATTGAAAGTTCTTGACTTGAGTAGTAACCATATGGAGGGTAAGATTCCGAAAGGTTTAAGGTTACTAATCAATCTTGAAGTTTAAACTTGGAGAGTAATCTGTCAACTGGTTTTGTCCCTAATGTGATAGGGAAGCTAAGTGAGCTTGTTGTTCATGATTTGTCTTAAAATAGCAATTTAGTTAGTGAGATTTCTTCTTCTATTGGGAAGCTAGACAAGCTTGAGGAGCTTCTCCTGCATAGGTCAGGCTTTCATGGAGAGGTTCCCATTTATTTTGTGGGTTTACGAGTTTGAAAGTGTTGGACATGTGTCTGAACAACATGACCGGTGAGATCACTCGTTCCCTAGGGTCTTCTCTCAGAACTTAGTGTCTCTTGATGTCTCTCAGAACAACATCACTGGCTCTTTCCCTAGCGGTATTTGCAGTGGCAAGAGGCTTATTAGCCGCTCTCTTTCCCTTCGAATTTGTTTGAAGGATCATTGCCTAACTTTATTGGTGAATGTCTTAACCTGGAGAGGTTTCAAGTACATGAGAATGGTTTCTCTGGTAAGTTTCCATTGGGGTTATGGTCATCACCAAAGATTAAGATTAGTAGAGCTGGTAATAATAGATTTACAGGTCAAGTTCATGAGTTTGTCTCTTTGGCTTCTTCATTAAAGCAAGTTGAGATTGATAACAATTCATTTTCTGGTGAGATCCCACATGGTCTTGGAGTTATCAAGAACTTATACAAGTTCTCAACTTCGGAGAATGGTTTTGAAGGAGAACTGCCACCAAATTTCTGTGACTCACCTGTTCTCAGCATTGTTAACATGTCTACTATAGTCTCTCAGGGAAGATCCTAAAGCTCAAGAATTGCAAGAAGCTTGTCTCTTTGTCTCTTGCAGGGAATGCATTTACCAGTGGAATCAGTACTTTTTTTACAATGTTTCTCTCTCGTATTGTGTTTCAGTCAAAACAAAAAAAAAAGTTAAGAATTTAGAGGATTACTGGTCTTGTATCCAGGTAATCTCTTTTTCATATTCGTTTCTGGAAAGCCATCCTGAATGTGACAAATGATATCATATTCTGGATATCCATCCAGAAAATCCAAAGTTCTTTCCAATGTTTTTAATAAAAATTTATGGTTAACTATAATTATGCTTTACCTTCTACCAGATGATTCTCCTCAGCCTAGCGGCTAAACCTCCTATCTTATGAAACTGAATTACTTGCCTCGACCCGCGTTCGATTCCAAGGGTATTCAGACTCGTGCTTTATTTTTTAATTGAATAAAAATAAATGGATTATATTACTTCACTTACATCATTAAAAATTTAAATCCATTTGGCCTAGTGGTCACACCTTATTCCCTATTTTCCAGACATCTCAGGTTCAAGTTCTATTAGTTGTGTATATTTATTCTTTTTTTTTCCTTCAAAATTTCAAATCACAATTTGAAAATTTCCAAGTATGCAGATATCAATCCATAGTTTTTTTTTATCTCATTTCATATTTTATTTTTTTTAGTTTAAGAAAGAAACACAATAATATTCAACCATTCTGGAAACCCATCCAGAAATTCTAAAGTTATGTCCAACATTTAGAATGCTCATTTTTTTTTCTGGTAACCCATTCTGAAAGTGTCACATGTTATCCTGGACATCCTGAAATTTCTTCAATAACAATCTAAATGATAAAAAAACGTTGTAGTGATCATTCATTACAAGCTTCTACTTGTCCAATTAACATCAACGTTCAAAAACGTAGTATAAAACAACGAGTGTGACTTTTTCACTTCATGTTACCTTCCTGGAAATTTTTATTCATAAACTGGTTGAAGATCTCACAACATAGATTGCTTCATAAGTCCATCACAGTATCATCATTTATATTGGACATGCTCTTCAATCCCAATGACATGCATTCCAGCATCTTGACAACAAAGAGTTGAATGGAAATTCTGTCTTTGGAAGCTCTTCTGCATTCTTAACTTGAAATGGATCGATATCTTTGAAATTAGCCTCTTCACCGAGAAGTTCCATCTTTATGTCCCGAATCAACACTGTCACAAATACCCAAAATTATACAACTGATTTTTTTTACAGTAAAAGCTAAAATTAATCAATCACAAAGAGTTTTTACATGCCAATTTTTGAATTTTAATAATGCCATCTTTGATATTTGCTTTTGGAAGGCCACAAGGGAAGAGTGTGATTGTGTTGTCCATCAAGTATATCTCCACCCCAGTAATGTGAGAGCTCTTTCTATCATGAACAACACTATATATAACCACTGAAGAACCAGTAGTTTGCATTTCCTTAGTATCACCACCTAGCTGCCTCTCTGGAGACTATTTTTTGTTCTCATGGGATGAAACCTCTTCAGTGATGGAGATTTTCGGGGAGCAGATTCAGGAAATCTTGGGGGAAAGGGGAAGACATTGTTGCTAAAGTTGATATTGAAGGAGCTGCGAACTTGCGAGATAAATTTGGTAACAACAACTCTGCCGTGTTTGTCTCTCTGCAGGCAGAGAGATGGAGCTTTTGCATTTTATTAATGGGAAGGAGGAGGAGGAGGAGCTTATATTAATGAAAGGTGGGAAGATTGACAGCCATGAGGAGAGGCTTGTTAGTGTCGCGATAAAAGAGCTTAGGAATGTCAAGTACGATTATGTTGTGGTGAATGTGGAAGGTAGGCTGGACGATGTGGTAAACCGCTTGGAATCCATTATTGACGCTGAGAAATGTAAAGTTCGTCCAATGATTTTCGAAACATAAATCTTCATTTGCTTTTTAGTTTGTTTCACTTTCATTACTATAAGTATGTTAGGATGCTCCAAATAGAGATGTGTATGAAGAATCACCATTAAGCTTATATGTTACGAATAATTTTGAGGACTGGAATTGTGGAAATGCGATGGGCTTTCTATGTAAAAACGTTAACATGAGAGTAATGGTGAAAATGACGTCGAACCCTTGTCTCCCTTAGAGCATCCACAACCCAGAATCCTTAACAACAACTTTTGGAATATGTTATTGTTTTTTCTTTTTTTCGTCCGAATTAAAAAAATAATAATAATTGGCCAATCGAGGGTTCTCAAGCGGCGGTGGAACCCACGCACAGTGAAAAAGCTGTCAAAAAGAGATCCGTAAATTGGTACTGCAAAAGGCAATTATGATACAGATTCTTAAATATTTTGGGCCTTACATATAATTATAATAATTTGTTGTTAAGGATTCTATGCTGTGGATGCTCTTAGTTTGTCATTCACATCCATTTACTAAACGAATAAATCTTTTCATTCTTGATGTTTTTTGGTCGAATACTTTTTTTTTGTGAAATCTTCTCTGCAGAGTGATTATGAAACTATTGAGATTTCTTTTTGTGAAGAATAAGAGCGAACTCTTACAAATCTGTGAATTTTTGTTAAATATTTGATATCCGAATCTGGCCAACTTCCAGACTTTACACTGTCTCACACATGTGGGAAGACAACCTATTCTGTAGTGGTCTTCTCCTTAGTTTAGTTCTTACTGTTTGTTATTGTGATTCCTTTTACTCATGAAGCCAGTGGCCACATGTAGATTCAGGCATATAGCTTTGGTTAAGAAATAGTTCTTAAGTTTCATATTCTCAAGAAAGGTTTTGTACTCTTTTCAAAGCTTGTTGAAAAAACTGGAAAACCAACCTATCAATAATACACATGAGCTCTCAAATCTATCACTTGTGGACTGGACAGTGCTACGAATTAGATTTTTCTTTTAGCAGATTAGTTCAGTGATCTACGATTCTCTTTAATTAATTACTTAAATAAAAGCAACATAAGCATTTGCATCAAACAAACCACACACAACATAAATGCAAAAACCTCTCGAAGACTTATTACAATCCACAACATAACATATGGTATTACTATTCCTTTCACTGATCTCCAGAATATCTATCACTTATCTAGGTTTTATTATTCTTGTAGTCTGGAGAAAAATGATACATAAAGCACTCTTTAACACAGATTTTATTCACGCCGTTGGCTCATCGCGTAACATATGCTTGAAGTCATCCCTACCCTTTCCTTGAGGATTCCTCTTCCATTCCATGATTTCGGTGAACGTCTCTATGAATTTCTTCATGTGTAGTCGTTTCCATTCCTAACCAAAAATAACAAACATCCAAAACGCACCACGATCAAACACGAGAAGCGAACCTCATTTTCTTACCGATTCAGAGTTAACCAAAAAGAGGGGCCAAACCTCGAAATCCCATTCTCCTTCGATATCTGGATCATCTTTATTGATCCATATATATGTTTTCACAGTCATCTTCTCAGAGTTGTCCTTTACATGTAAATAATTTAAAAAGAACAATTGAATCAATCTCATCAAAATGTTGTTTCATAGAGATGAGAATGTTCTGTCTCACCTCTCGTACAACACCAACTGTGACTCTCTTATATTCATCACCCTCAACAGCATCTACATTCTCAAGTTCTTCATCCGTTAATCCCATTAGTAACTGCACCAAAATATCACCAACTAATTCCTCAAAATCTAAACCCTTAAACATCATCAATTACGATCTAAACAAACAAAAAAGAAAAACCCGTAAGAATATAGATTTTCACAAAAAATGATTTTAAAAAACAAACCTTTCCATGAACTTCTCCATCTTCAGACGGTATAACACATGGATACAAACGTCCTTTAAGCCTAAACCTCTTACTGAATTTTTAAAAATCCAAAGTCACCATCAATTTTTAGATCTATACAGAGAGAAAAACCAATCGAGAGATTAAGACAATACGTACAAGCCAGGGAGTGTTACAGAGATCATCTCAGGAATTCGATCAAGCATGACCTTGACAACCTCAGGCTCTTGAAAGCTACCATAGACGAAAACATTGTGAAGCTGCACACCGGAGCCACTCATTTTCTCTCTTCCACAGTTTTTGTTTTTTTTTTTTTTTTTTGCTTCTGCTGTTTCTGTATCAGATATTTAAATTTATAACGTGAAGTAAGAAAATGTTGATAAGGAACACGAAACCGGTAAAACACGTGTTAGAATTCTCTTACGATAAGACAAGCTTAGTTACCAACTTACCAATCTAATAGTGCTTCTACTTTTACTATTTTGTCGGCAATTCTTTGATACATATCCCCTATACATTAAAAGAGAAGTCACTTGAACACATGTCACTCATACAGGCTTTCTCAGAGAAATTCTGACAATATGATTAGTTGATTTTTTTCAATCTTCTTTGGTATTTTTTTTTATTTTCGCCGTGCAAATGGTTTGACAATCGTATCTCAAATATTTGGTTACCTTAATTACTTGCCTTATATAATATTCAATAAATTGTATCTCAAATATTTGGTTACGTTAATTAGAGAGCTTACCTTATATTCGATAACTTGCGAAACAAGTTGGAAATTAAATGCCAAAGATGTCAATCTCATACCATTAGGAAAGTAATTCAGTATATATTAACGATGTCATAATGTCTGTAGACCTAACGCAAGTCTCAAAAACATATATTCAATGGTTAAAGCTACGAAAAATCGAGTGTCATCTATCAAGGAATTGAGACCGTGTAAAGATACATGGCGTATTGAGGTTAGGATTCTGCGTTTATGGAGAAACTACAACAGAGATTCCGGAAACACCATCGAAATGGTGTTTGTCGATAAAAAGAAGTAAGTTCATTACTTGATTTCCTATGTTAGTTCCATTGTTGTAGAATTTATTACAGCAAACATCTTTAACTCTCTTCTCATCACCGTCTAGGGGACAAGAATCCATGCTCAAGTCGGTGAAGTGCTTATAAAACATTTTGAAGGGAAACTAACCGAAGGCGATGCAAAGGTCATCCACTTATTTAAAGTCTACGACGCTACTGGTGATTATCGAACCACCGCGCATCCCTACAAAATTGGATTCTTTCAGACTACTTTTGTTGGACCAGCGGATGACTTCCCAAGTGAAGTTCCGGAGAAGTATCTTGTCAATTACAGTGATATTATTGATAGGAAGCTTGATAGCAGTTGTTTGGTTGGTGAGTCAAATTCGTACTATTGCTTTGTCTTACAATATATTAAAAATGACACAATATTTACTTCTTAACTTGATATGTAGATGTTATTGGCCAAGTAGTTAACTTCGGATCTCTGGAAAACAAAGTCATAAAAGGAAAGGATAATTTCAGACTATTGATTGAGTTAAGGGACCAAAAGTAAGTTTTAATATTATGTCTTTTCCTTTAAATTATTGGATCAGCTTTTCTTGTGTTATCCATTAATAATAGTGGTGTTATATGCAGTGATGTGAAGTTGATGTGTACTCTTTGGGGCTGTTATGCTAAACAAGTATATGATTACAGTATGTTAAACATGTCTACAATGATCATTGCTCTAATCCGGTTTTGTTCCATTAAAGAGTGGAAAGGTATAGTTCCTACACTTATTTTCTTAAATGACTTATCTCATAACATTTTCATAAGCTTATGATACCTACTCCATATCTAGCGGGTACAATTCAACCCATATATTGCTGAACCCAACATTGGATTTAATTGCAAATTTTAAAGCTAGGTATGTCACCTTTATACGAGAAACTAGAGGTCTTATCACTTTGTTTTACTGTGCAGTCTCCCCAATGATTCACTTGCTCTTACAAACAATGATAGTAGCCAATGGTCCGTTGGTAGTGCTACATCTGTTCGTGCTAGGTTTTTTGTGACTAATGAGAGGCTAACCATAAGGGAGATCATCGATACTGATCTGGTATATTTATTAAA